GTCGAGTTACTTTCTTACAATTCGAAGAACCAGAACGCGTAGCGGCATCTCCGATGAAGGAACTACGTTCCGTATTTGTTTCTATCGGTTTGGATTCTTTATGTTTAGATTCTTCGGAGACTGCGTCTCCTTTAGGAACTTCGTTCCGTTCGAAATATTTATTAATTAATTCCATTTATAATAATATATAAATATTATTAAGTATACATAATTATAACCATATTTTAAAAACTGTGTAACTTATGGGTAACATCTATGTAACATAAAGGTAGTTTGGTGTTATAAGTATGTTATATTATATATAAGATGTAATCAGATAGTTTGGAATATAATTTTATTTTGGATAACATTTTTCTTTTTTCTTTTCTTTTTTGTTTCTTTAAAATGGTTAAAGTTTTTTATAATAGTTTAGAAATCGAAAAAATAGAAGATAAGATTACTATTAAAACATTAAGAAACAAAACATATAATTTTTCCACAAAAGAAGGAAAATATTCTTACATATTTCCAACATTATTTCTCCAAAAATTTAAAACAATATATTATAATTATCTTAATAAAGAATTTATAAAAATGTTATTAACAAGTGTTTTATGGATTTAAATATTATATAATCTTGCTTTATGTTTAGATGGTGTGGTTTTAAAAGGACCATAAATAACATTAAAAGCAATTTTATTTTTAACTTTATCTTCTACCATTAATTTTAACCAATAAGATATAGAATAATTATCTTCTTTAGTAATTCCACTTTTAGTTGTTATTTTTGCTTTAATAATTCCACTATTCTTTAATAATTTATATCCGTCTATATTAATATTATCTCCTTCGTTAACTTCGTAGTCTAATTTTTTAGAATCTTTTAATGTTAAATAAGGTAATTCTTTTAATATTAAACTATTTAGTGTTTCTTGTATTTGTTCTGTTTTATTGGTTTTAGTTTCTACTATTTCTACTTTTGCACATTTCTTTTTCGAAGAAGATGTAAATGTACCAGTTTTACATATTGTTAATATTGGGTTACCACTAATAGAACCTCTTGCTATAATTCCATATATATCTAATTTCTTATAATAATTTTGGCCTCTATTTAAATATGTTGTTAAATTAGTAGTAGACCAATAAAAATATAATTCTGTTTCTTCTGTTATTATGGAATCTTTAGAACAAGCCAATAAAAGAGTATCTCCAAATCTAGATTTTGTTTCTTTAAATCCATAAACATATAATGTTGTGTTATTTTCTAATTCTATAAACTTCTTACTGTGTGCTTTACAGTTCTTAAGAATTCCATATAATTTGTTTCTACACATTTCCATATATTGACTTTGTTCTATCTCTTCTTCTATTTCTTTATTTTTAGCTTGTAATTCTACCATCTTTTCTCTATTAACAATATTAAAAGCTTTCATTAATTCTTGTTCTTTAATTTCTTTATTAATTGTTCTTATAGTTAAGTTATCGTCTGGGTAATTAAGTAATTCCATATTAAATTCTTTTAACAATGTGGTATAATTTGTTGTTTTAATAAGAGATATGGTTTTCTTGGATAATTTAAATTTAAACATCTTGTTTGGTAATAATCCAACTTCTTCTGGTTGTTTACTAAAAGCATCGTCTTTATAAGTAGCTGTATGTAATTTATCGGAACCAGATGTAACATATGTTTCTAAATCTTTATTATTTGTTGTTACTCTAATATAACTATCTTGTTGTATACTAACTTCTTTATTATCTTTATCTATATTAACTAATAATACAATTATAGGTTTATTACTACAATAATATCTTAATGCATTAGATAATTTAACATTATTACAATCTTTAATATTAAATCCATTAACCTTTCCAGTAAGTCTGTTTTGGTAAATAGAAATAAACGCCAACTTTGTTTCTACATCTAATATACACACATTATAAAGGATATGTTTAGATAATAGATTAAATTGCGTATCTATAGAATTATAATAAATAAGAGAAGGATCCATTTGTTTTCTTAAGAATTCCATTTGTTCTTCCACAAATTCTCTATTTAACTCTTTATCTGTATTGTATCTATAGAATGTCATCTCCAACCTTAATAATCCTGTATCTAAAGAAGTGTTTATAGCTTTATTTAAAAATGGTTCTGGATTATTAATCCAATCGTTTATATGGGATCCTATTTTATTTCTAACACTAGGACTCTCCATAGATTGCACAAATTTATTATAAAACTTGTATCGAATAGTTCCATTTTCTCTTGTTCTAATAAATGTTAAACAATTTTTAGAAACAGTATTACTATTATTAAGAATTGTGGCTGTGTAATTATCCGGAGATGTGTCGTCTCCTTGTTCTCTAAATCCAACACTTAACAAATGTTCTATAACGATTCATTGACATTTGTCGAAATTTACATTTATCGGACATGACATTTGTCGAAACCCTGGTGACATTTGTCGACAATTCTTTTGAATTATTTTTAAAAATAATTAGAATCAATAACCCATATAAAAATCCAAAAATATAATTGCCACTCAAATGTTGATGCAAAAATAACAAATGATGTGGCTTCTTGTGTTGAATCCCATTTTATTGTAGACCATTTAAAAACAAAAAATCAAAAACATAAAGAATCACTTAAATTATTTGCGTTGTAATAAAAAATATATTATTTGATAATTAAAATACATCATATTTAATAATAAAACTTAATAAAATGATTTTGAATTGAAAAAAAGAAATATATATATTTATGTATTCAAATTTGTTTAATATTATAAATACATAAATAACTATTAAAATTAATAATTATCCGAGTGCATTTGGTAAAACTTGAAAAGAAATATATTTAAAGGAATATAATCGATAACTCTAAAATATAAATTTTGACATCATAACTAAAAATACAACAGTATTAATTATACAATCATAAAACGTTCATACACCATGTAAAAATAAAATAAATAATTATATTTAAACTGTTTTAATCTTAAATATTACAAAGATGAGTCGGCCACCTCTTCGGTTTTTTGATGAATCAAAAATTCCAGGACGTCTCAGGTCTTCACATTTTTTGCTGTGCATAGGAAAGATTTGTTATGTACAGAGGAGTAATTGGGACTATGAAAATTACGACTTTGTTTATGAGTGTGCAGGTGATAAATGCAATGTAACAGTTTATATCGTTGGTGATGACTATGAAATAGTTGGTGAACATAGTTGTGTTTGTGACCACGAAGCTAAATTTATGGCAAGGTGTCGTCACGAAGCTGCATTCCTTGAATTTGAAAAATCAATTAGCGACACGCCCCGCAATATTGCCCTTCGTGTTCAAACACATGAATATTGCAATAAAATGACACACTTAGAAATGCAAGCTTGTAAAAGATATATTATTCGACTTCAATCTGCAGTACTTGGACCCAACCCAACTTCAATGAATGACATCACTCTGAGTGATACTTTGCGGACAACTATAGAAAGAAAAGGCGAAATCAACCCAGACAATATGTTTCTGTTTTACGATTCATTTGAGAAAGATGATTCTCTCCCTCGTATTTTAGTGTTTAGTTCTCATTTGCAACAACTTATTGCGTTTAAGGCAGATCACATATTTGCAGATGGAACTTATCGTATCACACCAAATACAGTTCAATGTCTGTACACCATACATGTGTATGTCGATAACACGTGCTATCCCGTTGTTTTCATTCTCTTACCCAACGAAACCGAAGAAACTTTTACTCGTGCGTTTTCAACACTTATTAACGTCTTCTCAAATGTAAAATTTGCACATTGTGATTGCCAACTATCGGCCATCAATTCACTTATTAAAGTGTTCAAAGTTGACATAAAATTGTGTTTATTTCATCAAAACCAGGCAGTTTTTAGGATGGTGGGTAAACTTGGTTTATCAACGGAGTATACAAACAATGCAAAACTTCATTTGTAGATACTTCGTCTTTTTGCTTTACCTTTCTTACCAGAAAACGAAATAAGTAGTTGTTTTGCCGATACTTTTGAAGTAATGTCGCTGTCAAAAGTCTATGGTGTTACTGAAGAGGTGAGAGAAAGATTTATCGAGCTTTTGGCCTACTACAAAAGATTTTGGATCGAAAAAATAGGAACGAAAAGGTGGTCACAGTTTTTTGTTGAAAATAGAACAAACAACTTTTGTGAGGGGTTCCACAATGGAGTTGGATTGAGTTTCCAAATAGCACACCCGAGGTTTGTAGTCCTAATAGACATGCTTAGACGACTTGAAAATGTTTGTAGACAAAAGTGGGTCGATCAAATTACATCTCACGATGTTGAAATTGTTTATAAAAAGACGAATGCTAAACTTTGTAAAGATTTAAATAAAACAATGCAATATTATTTACTTGGAAAATTTGAAACACAAGTAATGTACTTGGACGAAATAGCAAAGATGTACATGGAATACAATTTCAAAACAAAAGCTTCTAGTCATAATATTTCTAATACTGCTATTACACGTTCAAAAGAACTTCTTAACGAAATGAATAAACTTATTGAAAAACAAAAGGATGTCGTTTTCGATGAAAATGGAAGTTCTCTGAGTCCATTTGATTCCACACTTCCAAACAAACAAAGTGAATTGGAATTCGATACAACAATTTCTTATGTTAACGAATACGAATCATTATCAAGTAAAACATTAAGTGAAATAATAAAAAATGATGACGATAGTGAATTTTCAACAAGAAATGAAAATCCAACAATTATCCAAGATGAAACTGAACTTAATGAATATAACAAAACCGATACAATAAGACGAGTAACAAGAAAACTTGCAAAAGAAAAAACAAAAGTTAAAAATTGAATTTCAACTTTAAAAAAACCAAGAAAATGTCGAGTTGAAAGAAAAAAGAAACTCACTATATGCCAACAAATTGAAGCTGAAAAGAAGATACAACACAAATTGAATAAGTAATTTGTGATATTTGGTTAACTTGATTAAATATATATTTCTTTTTTTCAATTCAAAATCATTTTATTAAGTTTTATTATTAAATATGATGTATTTTAATTATCAAATAATATATTTTTTATTACAACGCAAATAATTTAAGTGATTCTTTATGTTTTTGATTTTTTGTTTTTAAATGGTCTACAATAAAATGGGATTCAACACAAGAAGCCACATCATTTGTTATTTTTGCATCAACATTTGAGTGGCAATTATATTTTTGGATTTTTATATGGGTTATTGATTCTAATTATTTTTAAAAATAATTCAAAAGAATTGTCGACAAATGTCACCAGGGTTTCGACAAATGTCATGTCCGATAAATGTAAATTTCGACAAATGTCAAGATACCTTCTATAACATCGTCTTTATTAAATACTCCTTTAAAATCTTGCGTAAAATCTATATCGTGTATAAATACATTATTATCGTTTAAGAATTTTAATTTGTCTTTATCTGTTAACATATTAAACACATCTTGGACACTAGCACAACTTAAGTTAATTTTAAGTACTTGTATAAAAGTAGATGGTTGGTGTAACATATCTTTGGATCTCTTTATACATAATGGTTTAATATCTGTTTTATTAATATTTATACGAACAGTGTTAAAAACCATTTTAATATTAGCTGTAATAGTGGCTAAAATATTTTTCGAAATATCTCTTAGTTCTTTTGGAACAGATTTAGATTCTTGTTCTTCCTCTTCGTTATCTATAGTATCGGAGGAAATAAATGTTTTACTAAGTTTTTCTACATCTTTAATTAATTTATCTGGAATTGGAGAATATACCACAATATTATCCGAAAATAATGTATTTAATGGCTCTAATTCTTTATCTGTACGTATTCCTTCTTTTGTATAATCCACATTACAAATGTTAGAATCGTTAACAATTTTATTTAAATTATATAGAATAGTTTCTGTTTTAACTTTATTATTACCAATAGTTTTAAGATTAAAAGTAACATCGTCTCTAGTCTTGTTAAAATTTAATTCTTTAATTAGAACGTTCGACAATTCTTCTGTTTTAATTTGTGTTGTGTCAGCAGCCTGCATTTCTAATATAGAAAAATTTAAAATTTATACTACCAGATTGCTACCACTCTGCGAGCGTGAGGAGCGAAGCTCTGTACCATTTTGGCTACCTCTATTTTAAAAATAATTGTAAAATCCAAGAGACACAAAAAGAAACCCATATTTGGGTTTTTGTTAATAAAGTACGCCGTAGGCTGAGAGACCTTTGGTCTCGTAGCAAAGAGGTAGTTCGCAAACAGTAGTTTAAGCTCCCTATTGATACACATCTTCTCTCATCAAATCATCATTATCTTCAATATTATCAAAAGAAATATTATTTAAAGCCCATTCTAAATTCTTTTTATCAAGTTCTTTTTCATCATCTAAATTTTTAATCAATGTGGCTTTTTTATTAATTAAACCAAAAGTTTGTTTGTTAGTTTTGTTTAATTTATTGAAAACTTTTGTTAAAAATGGTTGTTCTAATTTAATAGAACTTTTTTTATTGTCTTCAATTCTTTTTAATTGAACTTCTAATTTTGCTTTATAATGTAAATATAAATCTCTTGTGTTAATACCCATAGCAATTCATTCTTTTCTACATTCTTTGTTATTAATTTTAGTAGATGCTGATTTAATAGTTCCTGATAAATTGTGAAACAATTTAAAATATCTTCTTCGGAATAGTTATTAGTAAATTGATAAAAATTATTTAATCTGTATTCTTGTGTTGTGCTCATTTTAAAAAAATAAATATTAAGAAAAATAATTTAAAAATAAACTCGGTACTATATTTCCGAAATTTGGAAAAATTCAGATTCGCGTACCTCGCGATTTAATTAAAGTATTATAAAATATAGATAAAATGGGGTGCCCCCTAAATCCACATAATTTATATACTACTAAAATCTATTTGTTTTTACAAATTACAGTTATTCAATTTTATATATTTTTCCTTTAACAGTCAAAAGGAAAAAACAATTAGAGTCATTCTCTAAACGTTGTCCTTTTCTCAAACATCGTCCCTTTTGCAAAAATAAACGCACAAAAAAATCTTTAAAAATTGGAAATTAGGTAATAAATCATAAAAACGGTAATAAAACTGAAACAATGATTTTCTGGCGTTTCGAAAAATTTCCCGATATATTCTAGTTATTGATATCTAAAAACTGAGGGACAATGTTTAGAGAATGACTCTATGTTGTGTATTTTAACTGGTTTACATAAAAGCCAAATCACATCCAAAGTTAATTGTTGTTAATGAAAGATGTGTATCACTTTCAAACTGTTTG